TTGGATTCTAAAGCGAATTTATGGGACACTATTCGGGGAAGGCAGTGGGTACAGGGGAGAGATTTTTTTGGGCTTTGTTGAGAGAGAACAACCAAGAGAGGTGGGAGAGCGGAGAAACAAGCAAGACCACAGACGCTATGGTGGAGCGGAGCCATTAACACTCAGGTGGACCCAATGGAGGCACCTCGTGTCTTGAAGCCCCTGTCGTAAAACTTCCTGAGGAGAAGTTGATGTACTGTTGCCCAATACGACCCGTACTACTTTTTCCCAAACAAATTTCGATGTCATGAGTAATCGCGATATGTGATCACTTTGTAGAAAACGGATATCGGCTATGCGCGCGTGTAAAATCAATTTTTATTATAACGTGCACGCAATAATTGGGAGTGGCCAAAGCGTGAGAACAGCACAAGAGGTGCATGCCCTGATTCTGGGTGTGAACTGATAGGAAACGACTTGAGATAAACTTCTAAACTGAAATGAAGGACATACGTCGAACTTTCTATCCGTGTGATACTTGCAACGACTACAACCGTAACGTTTGCCAGAATGCGTTTGGACGTGTGCTCGTAGAGACTTCCTGAATATTATATCAATTTGACTCTATCACTGAACTTGCTTTTTTAAAATTGACTTCTGAACGCAAACTATCCCCCCAACCACGTCAATATCCGGCTCTAACGTGGTTGGGGCTGCGTCTCTATACACTCCATATAGCTCTAACGTGAGATAGATAGGGCGTGGTAGAGTACTTCCATTGAACATGACGTGGAATGGATTTTCCCTGGGAAAACACATTTGAGAGTACTCTCATGCAGGACGATGAGGTGATGGATGGATGTGATTCATATATTTGTCCTTGCGCAATATCCCGCTAGGAACGCAGCCGCCGCCACGCTCCAGGGGCGCAACCACACCCTCTACGTCTCCAAAACATGGAGTGTATCTCTTAGCTGAACCGAGGCCAAGGCTTAGTCGTGGCTGTGTCTTCTCTACCAGACTATCCCTTAAGGAGTCTGGTTGTCTTTGCTCTATATAGTCTCCCTCCACCTTGAGTTGCTCGTCTGAACAGATATTCCCGCCAGAAGCTTATCACTCAAATCGAATGGAGTTCGCCACGCCACGCCTTCTCCGCGGAGTTGGACGGCTACGTTTGCGACATCCTTCTCCTCAGTAGCAGAGAGTTCGGAGGTGAGAAATTAAGAAATATACGAACCAGGGTTTAGCACAGAAATGCTGAGTGTGGGGCAAAAGTCGTGCCCAGGCGGGATTCGAACCCACCTCAGCTCTTCCGGCAGGTGCGCTATCGTTTTTGCGCCAGCAGGGCCGCTTTTTACCCTCTCTGCTTCAATGGCTCATACCGTAACAGTTACAGCAAAGTCACACGGTTTACTTGCCGTTGACGTGTTGGTGCTGCGTTGCGGTAACGGATAGCACGCACTTCGCCCGGAAAGCGTGGGCGTAAGTCGGGCCCAGGCGGTTCGACTCCCGCCTGGGGCACGACTTCTGCCCAGCTGCATTTTGTGGTAACATTCTACGCGTAATGCGAGCGGTTAAACTATCAGGTAACAAATACATCGGTATTACAAACAGGGTTTGCTGCTTTGGCAAGTCCGTCTTTGTGTCACCCTCGTTGACCTCTTTACTTCTTCTCCCTTGTCTTTCTAGTTAAAAACAGGAAGCCAACAAGTGAATGGTAGACTTGACTCCGCCTCCACGACCAGCAAATATAGTTGTGATCACGGCACTGATTATTTCAATTCTTTTATGCGGTATAATGTCCGTACTTATCTCTCGGCACTTCTTCCTGACACAACATGCACGTTATAGTTTTCGGAGCATCATCTTCCGCACTTGGAGTGACAGTTTCTGGTTCACTGGTTTGCACTGAAACTCGATTTGATAAACTGTAGTAAAAAAGGAAGACTGAGGAAGTTTGGTGACCGTCTCTCCAAGCGGGCCCCATCAAACTATATCAGTTGTTATCAGTTCCACCGAAACCCACCAATAATGTTCCTGTCTCATACCGTACATAATATCTTGGGACCAAGAGTTTACCATCATTACGACAAGTGTCACGAGCAGGCACCAACAGCGACAAGACTATTATATCGAGCGACAAGACTATTGACACCGCGCCAAACCCACCCCCCCCCGGACACGCCCTTCATCCGCAGCAAACCAGACTGTAGATAACGAGTATGAAATAAAAAATATAGAACATACCTGAGGCATCATTCAACGAAGGCCCAGGATTGTTCGAATTCAGGTCCACACTCACACTGGAATAAGGAATAGGCACTGGAGTAAAGACACACATAAACAGACAATACCGGATTGTGGATGAAGGCTTGTCAGCGACGGCTGAGCACTGGACTCTTTTCTCTTATGGGTACTACTAAATCTCTGCCTCACTTTCGCCTGCAACTTAAGAGGCGTGGCCGCGCTCGCAGCCATTCCTCTCGTTGCCCTCACTCGTGGACGACTTGGTTATTGGCGGTTATTGCGTTCCGGACAGCAGTGATTTCCTCGCTCCGTATTAGAGCGTAGCAGCCTTTTCCACTAATTATGCCATCCTGACTTCGCAGTAGTTGGTGAGAAAGGCTGTCGTGGCTGTACGAATTCACGCCGCTCCACCCTCTATCGTTTGCAGGGATCATGGCTATACGTGGGCGACATAGGGGCCACACCAAGCAGCGCTCTCACTGGACCATTGTTTGGCACGCTCCTCGCGCAAACTGTCTAATGGTAAGCATGTAGAATTGGGAGTCCCCTGGGTCCCAGGGAGCGGGAGATCACAAGTTACATAAGGACCCAAAAATGCCAAAACCAGAAAAAAAACCAAAAGCCAAAACCCAAAATTCGTTCCCAAACTTTCGATCTTCAGATCCTTCCCAGCAAGCCAAACACGGCAACGTCCCTCTACAACTGGATGCAAGGAGGCTACATTACAGCCACACTGTCATTTTCC